TGCTTTTTTTATATACTTGAAGGCCAAATTACCTCCAGATGACTTGAATACATATCAAATAAAGACATTCAAAGTCAACAGGGAAAATTCAACAAGAAAAATCTCTACCTTTATGCAAACTTAACATTTAGGAGTAACTATTGTCCTACTTTAGAAGCCAAGGGCATCATTAATTTGAAATCATTTACATTGTTTTTCAAAGCAGTAATCCAGAGTAAAAATCCAATAATGTTTTACAAAGTCATTTAAAAAATCGCTTGTCTCAGTAGCTCAACTATTATTATTATAAAGATGATAGTTCTGACTCTTACTGAGAAATATATTAGGGATATGAGTTGCTTATGTTTTTCATTGCACAAAGTTAATAAAACTGCAGTGAGAGTTGACATGTTTATCCTGAGGTAGGACTTAAGTTTTAGCCGCAGCTACAAATCATTAACACATAAAAGCACTAGTCATTAACATAAGTTCTAACCTATGAATTGTGTGAGAATTGCATAGAGGAGAAGTATCTATCATTTCCTTACACCTAATGTAAAGCTCCAAGATGCAATAAATCCTGAACTACTAGCAATAATAGCCACGTCTGAAATACAATGCCACGAGTAATATTGTTTGGATTTTCACCAAATTTAAAATGCTGTTTTCCGAAAATGCCTTAGTGTATTTATAAAACAAAACATTTGCAAGAAAGCCATACTGCGTACATTACATGTACAAAAGGTTGTTACATGAGAAAGGGTAGTTTTAAATTCTTAACATATTAAATGCTTTTCTAAAGAATTTGACACATTTTAATGACTCTCCTTTAAACACTCTTTTTTTTTTCCTTACTCACTTTTATAGTTTCCCTTAAAACTTAATGAATGATTCTAGTCACTATCTTTACAGTTATCTTGTGTGTGTGTGTGTGTGTGTGTGTGTGTGTGTGTGTGTGTATACATGCATTTTCCTTAAAAACTTAGTTCAAGAATCGGTTTCCCAGCTCATATTTGCAATTCCAGTTACTCAAGAGGCAGCCATTAGGAGGACTGCAATTTAAGGCCCGTCTGAGGAAAATATTAGCAAAATTTCATCTTTAATAAAAAAAAAAAGCTATGTGTGGTGTGTGTGAGTTCAGATTTGTAATCCCAGTTTCGTTAACAGTAGGCAGGAAGACTGTAATCTGAGGCCAGCCCAAGGCAAAAAGTGAGAATCTACTTAGAAAATAGCTAAAGCAAAGGTGTGATTCAAGTGGTGAAGCATCTGCCTAGCAAGCATGAGGATCTAGGGTCAACAGAATTCTCCATAGCTCTGTAGTCTGTAAGCTACCTTCACCTCTGGCCTGCAATGATCATGGGTGTTCATGTCTACTCATCCTTAAAACCTTAAAACCCTTCCAATGTAGCCTAAGTACCAAGGCCTGAATTATAATTGCCTATTTACACGTTAACATCACACCCCCAAACCTGCTTGATTGCGAGTCATGTTCAGAGGTAGGACTCTTAAGAGGTAATTGGATCATAAGGACTCTGACCTCATTAATGAACTATTTTATTCATGGATTCACAGCTTTTGAGAGATAGTGGGCCAAGATGAGAAAGAAAATCCTAGCAGTATACCCTTGAAAGGTGTATATTTTTTCTCCAGCCTCTTCTTCTATCTCTCTTTGCTTTGTGTCTGCCCATTAAATGATCCACTTTGCTCTATTATGTGTGTGAAATATGATGTTCTGCCCTGCTGAAAAGCCCAAGACAGTGAACCCAATGCTGAAACTTCTACAAAAATGAGCCAAAATAAACCTTCCCTTCCTTTAAACTGATTTCCTCAAGTATTTTGTCACAGTGATGAAAACGGGCTGGAGGACTAGAATGAAAAGGCAAATACTTCAGAGATCAAACTTAAGAACTTAAATTCGGTGTTATAGCACTAAGAAGTAACTGAAGGTTCTTTGTAAAAGAACAAAATGATCAGATAGGTACTTTAGGGAGATAATCTTTAAAGCTGTGTAAGCAGGTATTGAAAGAGGAGGAAATGCCTAGGGCTGTGATCCCACAGAATCTATTTCAACAGGATCTATTCTAAATAAAAGTACAGAATGGTAACTGAGAGCAGAGAAAATAAAATTATTCAAAGCAACTTCTAAGGAATTGGTAGTTGAGTACATTTGAATAGACAAAAAGGAAAAGTCAACAATGACAAATTCATAAAGCCATTTCTGACAAGGACCTCAGGATTTAATGAATTCCATGCATAAAAGAAAATACTGTAGAAAATTATTTCTCTTAAAGTTACCATGTGAACAATTCAGATCACTTACTGTCTGAAGCATCTAAGACTAAGGATCTAGATACCAAACTCAAAAACTTTACAGCATCATTAAAAAGTGTGATTAAAGACATATAGCTAAACATAGCTGTGAAGATCCAGAACTGAATCAAATCAAACAAGCTCTATGTTTAGTTTAGAGTTTTGAGCTACCTCTGAAGAGAAGGAGTGACAGAATACATACACAGATTCCAAATGCCAGAAAGGTGAGCTGAAAGGAAGGTAGATATCAAAAGAGTATGAATGCATAGTAATGATCAAATGCTGAAAAAAACAGTACAACACATTCCTGTATGCTTCTCTTCGTGGCCATTCAATGCACAGTGTTCTGTCTGTAGTAGCCTATGTGAATGGCACCCCCAGAGTTGTGCAGAATACATCTGTGCACAGAGCTTAAGAGCTTGGGTGTACATATTAACAAAGGGAACTAGAATAAAATGATAGAGATTAATGTATGCTTAAAAGAGGAAAATAATAAGTATCTCACAAGGATAGAATCTCATTCAGCCCTTGATCTAAAGCCTTAATAGTCAGAGGAGTTGCAGGATTGGATCCCCCCAGTATATAGAGATTTTAGTTCCACAGGGAGGAAGTTTCTCACCAGGAGAAAGGACCATGGTTCTGTTGGACTGGAAGTTAAAGTTGGACTCCTACCTCTAAATCAATACACAGAAGGGATTTATTGGCTGATTGGGGTGACTGGTGCCTAGCTATGAAGAGACATACCCTAGTGTCTACAAAGGAGTATATATGGATTCCAAGAGGCTCCTTAAGGTGTCTCTTAGTAATACCATGATTATAAAGTCAATGATAAAACAACAACCCAATCCAGACAAGACTCCCAAAGCCCAGACTATTCAGGATGAAGGTTTGAGTCACTCAGCAGGTAAAGAACTATACCAAGGTGAAGTTCTGGCTAAGGGCAAAGGAGGTAGTGCATGGAGAGTAGGAAATGGTTATAAATGCCAGCCATGATCAGGTGACCAGGGACCAAAGTGAAGACTGTAATTTTCAAGAAAATTTCTCATTTTATTGTTTTATGTGTGCTTAAATATGGCCTTGATTTTCTTCCCTCCTTTATCCTCTCTCACCATGTAAGATGAAATTTATCAACTTTACATCTTTGTATTTAATATTATTCACTTTTTGTAGTGGTATCTTAAATAAGGGATATTTAATACCACTCATGGAATGCCAGGAAAATAATGAATGCGTTATTCAGTGTGCGTGTGTGTGTGTGTGTGTGTGTGTGTGTGTGTGTGTGTGTGTGTGTGTATAATAGTTATATAATGTAAGACACAAGTATGATTTTGCTATTGCCTTCATTTACATATTAACTATCATTTAGAGAGATGTACATGAATAGCAAATTGATAAAGGATTGGATTGGCTTGTGATGGTTACATTTAAGTGTCAAGTCAGTTAGGGCTCAGTGTCCATGTATTTGGTAAATATTCTTCAGATTAACATTGTTAGAGATTAACACTCAGGGTGGTAAATGTTTGACTAAAGCAGTTTATATTTCATAATGCAAGTGAGAATCATCTATTTGAAAGACTGAAAAGAATTGAGGCCGACCTCCCATGACAAGAGGGAATTTTGCAAGCAGACTGCCTTGGGACTAACACTGAAGCTGTCTGAGTCTAGAGTCTATCAGTTTGCCCCCCATCAGTATTGATGCTTACCATGCATTCACACCTCCCATGAACCAACCACCAAAACTGCTCCTTCCCAGACAGATGCTCATATTATATATATATACATATATATATACATACACACACACATATACATACATACATATACATATGCACACATATATGTATATATACATTCATATATACACACATAGACATATACCTGTATATAAATTTATACATATGTAAGTAGATAGATGAATAGATATATAAATATATAGATAAAATACACAGTTGTCCTTCAGTATACATGGAGAATTGCTTCCAGAACCTTCCATAGGCTCACAAATATGCAGATATTCAAGTCCCTTCTATTAAATCCTAGAACATTTGAATACCTCTGCACATGCTCCTGTGTACTGTCAACTCTAGATTTTTTATAATATCGAATAGACTATAAATGTAATGTAAATAGTCATGCTTCTATATTGTCTGAGGAATGACAAGAAAAACGAGTCTCTATATATTCAATATACAGGTATTGTTTTCCTGAATATTTTCAATCTGCATTTAAATCCTACCTTCTTTATAGACAAAACTGTGAAGGATCACTTAAAGCATTACATAACTTAAAGCATTATCTCTTTTCCTCATCAGCTCACAATTTGGGGCTCCAAGTGTGTTTGCTGATTTGGCAAGAAATGAGGAGGAGAATCCCACAAGACTACATCAAACTACAGAGAAGCCCAGGTACACCAAACAATAGGTAATTGCTCTCTAAAAGGCAGAGAAAAGATCTGCTGATGACATAAACGTTTCCACATTGGAAAATGATTACTGGTTATTGTAAAGCCTCGGAATGTCCAACTCGGCTCTCCAGCTCATCAATACTAAAACCAAAGCATGCGTTAGTATTCTTGTGGTTATTTATACGATAACATGTGGCTTTTATCAGTGGTGTTTATCAATCCTAAGGGCTGACACTCTTCTACAACCACCCAAATGTTTCCTGCACCCCTCTTCCCTGCCATCTCTCCATCCCCTTGGAACACTTACAGCATACTTTCGGGTTCTACTGCACAAGCGCCGACAGCTTTTGTGACATTCACCAGGAGAGACTGGTTTATTCCAACCAGGAGGTTCACGAGTGGCTGAATGCCACCGCATTTCCGGACAAGAACTCGGTTTTCATGTTCATGGCAGCATTCTCCCAAGGCCCCAACCACATTTATAAGTACTTCCTCGGGCTGGTCGGTTAAGAGTCCCACCAAAGTTTCGATGGCTCTGTATTCCCGAAACCTGAATTCAGAGAGAGGGAGACAGAGAGACAGAGAAGACAGAGAGAGAGAGAGGGAGGGGGAAAATTAGTTAATGATATCAATAGTAAGAAAAGGAGCAGCTAAGAATTATTAAATGCTTCATGTTCATGCAACAACCCTCTGATGGAGAGACTATTTAATCTCCACTGTCCAATGACTCAACTGAAGCTTGATATATAGTAATATAGTAAGGCTGGTACCTCCTGACCCAGCCATCAGCTCAGACCTGCACCTGGGGTCACAAAATTGCACAGTCTCCAAGACAAGTATGGTTTCATCCAACAAGTCTGAGCATCTGTGATTCCAATCTGCTAGTTTTGTGCTGCCTAACAGAGACAATTTTACAAGAAGAATACTAAATATTTAATGGAAATGAATTCTCCTTTTAATCTATGCATCATTTTACCATACAGGCTTAAACAAAGTTATTTTGTGTTAGCACATGTGTTATTTCTTTTTATAGGAACTCATCAGGTAGAGACAAAAGCAGATGTTGTCTCAGAATATTCATGGAGTATATGGCCTCTGTAGATGAAGAGATAGATCTGAAGATTAAAATAAAATTTACAATAAAATGATGCAATCATATTTGAAAATAACTCTTCTTTGATTTTTTTTTTGAGACAGGATTTAAAAGGCTCATTCAGGCCTGGCCTTAAATTCATGATCCTCCTCCTGCCTCAGCTTCCCCAGTACTGAATTTACAAGTGTATGCTACCAGGCCCAGCTAAAACTGACTATAAGAATGGCTGGTTAGCATTCAGAGGATTCATCTCTTTTTCTTAGAAAAGGAAAAATAATGAAACTACTTCTATGTCTAAAGATTCAGTGAACCATTCATTCCTTCACTCTGAAACCTAAGAGATGTCTAGCTTACATGGCTGTCCAAATGCAAAACAGCCTATTCACAGAAAGATCACATATATCAGCAAGCTCTACTGAGGCTTATAAAGTTATTGATAAGCCAGGCCTTGGTGGCTCACACCTGTAATCCTAGATACTCAGGAGGCTGAGATCTGAGGATTGCAGTACAAAGCCAGAGTGGGCAGCAAAGTCCATGAGACACTTATCCCTAATTAGCCACCAAAAAGCCAGAAGTAGAGCTGTGGCTCAAATGTAGAGTGCTAGCCTTGAGCAAAAAAAATCCTAGTGCCCAGGCCCTGAGTTCAAGACCCACGGCCAGTACACACACACACACACACACACACACACACACACACACACACACACACACACACATGCCTAAGGTGTGGGCAGCAGTACAGTCAACTCTTTATGAAAGCAAGATGAAATTACAGACAGTGTTTCCTGGCCACTTGAACGCCTTCTCTTACTTGGTTACATTCTCCTTGCTGATAGAGCATTTCCATATTGCCCCTGTGACAGCAGCTAATCGTTCTTTATTATCCGTCTTCTTCAGTAGACTGGCCAAGGGTTTAAGCCCTCCATGCTGCCTAACCAGGTCACGAGTTTCCTCATCTTCAGCACACTGTACAGAAAGGGAGATGTCAGAGGTCAAAACATCTTGAGCGCTGGGCACTTAATGGCTCATGCCTATAATCCACAGGAGGCTGAGATCTGAAGATCAGGGTTCAAAAACCAGCCCGAGCAGAAAAGTCCATGAGACCCTTATCTTCAATTAACCACCAGAAAACTGGAAGTAGCACTGTGGCTCAAAGTGGTAGAGTGCTAGTCTTGAGCAAAAAAAGCTCAGCAACAGCTTCCAGGCTCTGAGTTTAAGCCCCATAACCAATAAATAAATAAATAAACCTGATCATTCAGTGATTGCTGAAGAGTCTGGCATTCTATAGATCCTCCTCAACTTACTATGGATTTGTCACTTTCCAGATGGTACAAAAGCGACAGACACCAATTAGAATCCATTTTGACAATTTTGAACTCTGACCTCTTCCTGGATCACAGGTTGCATAATGCTCTCTCGTGAAGCCAGCTGGCAGCAGCATGCCAGGCATATAAATACATACAGGTGCCTGTAATCTCCTGAGATTACAATGATGAACCACCAATCAACACCCTACAGTATACGAAATCTCCAAGCCCCATTATTTAGCAAATAAGGCATATTCAAAGCATTTGTGATTTACAATATTTTCAATTTGCTATGGGTCCATCATCAAAATGTCACCTCATCATAAACTGAGTAGTGTCTGTGGTAAATACCAAACACCTTTTCCAAGAATCTTATTTCTGAAGGTGCCTCCAAGTAGGATAGAATTCTTTCCCACACTGGCAGCAATCTGACAATGTTTCTCTCTCTCTGTATGATTCTAGGAAGCATAGAAGTTTCTACAGACTTGGTAATTCTCCCAAGCTGCTTCTGAGGTAGCCTGGGCTCCCACTGAGCAGAGACAGGTCAGTAACAACCCACACTGGCCTGTACTTGGATGAGGATGTCCACAGTAGAACAACAGAGTCTTGGGGAATGTAATAGAGATGTAAAGTAATACTAGGCCTTTCATCTAGAGATGAAGAATTTTCTCAATGAAGTCTCTTATGCTCTTGGGTTCTGTCAATTGTACCTAGCATTTTATTCAAACATGTTTACCCATCTTTGTGTCATCCCTCGAAATAGTTATATATGTCTATATATAATATAGTAATATATTATTAATAATTACATTATAAATATATATTATGTATAATCTATAATGTATATATACATTGCACACACACTCCTAACTGGTCACTCTTCTCAGGCTATAGACCCAGTAGATGATAAAGTTATAAAGTTAGTATAGGCTTTTCCTTTTTACTATCATTATTATTGTTGTCATTTCCAGATGCCTGGTGAATGCCATTAGATGAATTCTTTATCATCATGTGCCACAGAGGTAAGCCTGCCATGTTTTCCCTCCGAGTATAATTTTTTATTTGGGTTCAATGGTGAATTTTGAAAAGTAAATACAATTTCTAGCCAACTCTTAATGGTCATTCCTGTGGAAGTGTGTGTGTGTGTGTGTGTGTGTGTGTGTGTGTGTGTGTGTGTGTGTGTGTGAAGGCTATATATTCTTACTTACTAAACTGTGCCTTCTCAAAATTCATATGTTAAAAGACCTAACACCTCTAAATATAGCTGTATTTGAAGACTGGGTCTTTGTACAGGAAATTAAAAATTAAATAAGATCACTGGGATGGGCCCTAATCCAATTTGGCTGCTTTTCTTATATAAGAAGAAGAGAAGATGCAGACATACACAATGGAAACATGACATGAAGACACTAAAATATGGCTATGAGCCAAGGAGAGAGGCCTCAGAAGAAATTAACCTTGCTGACACCTTCATCTAGGAACTTCCAGCCTTCATGACTATGAAGGGATCACAAACCTCAGCAAACAAATACATTCCCCAAAGGAAGTAAACCCTGTCTTTGCCTCTGAATTTTCACTGCATTTCTCTCATTCTGCATATCCTATGTGTATTACTGATTAGATAGAAGCTGCATGGTCAGTAACCAGCCAGACACTCATTTGTAAATGTCATCTCTCCTTCTTGGCCATCCTATAACATATTCTCTATGAAATTTATAATCCACAAAAGTTAATTTAATGTGGGCTGGTTATCAAAATAAATAAAAAGATGTAATAAGAATACACATGTAGGGCTGGGAAGGTGGCTCAGTGGTAGAGTGCTTGCCTTGCATGCATGAAGTCCTGGGTTCAATTTCTCAGCACCACATTAGCAGAAAAAGCTGGAAGTGGTGCTGTGGCTCAAGTGGTAGAGCACTAGCCTTGAGCTGAAGAGCTGAGGGACAGTGCCCAGGCCCAGGGTTCAGGCCCCACAACCGACAAAAAAAAGAATACACATGTATTCATTCATCTTGCCTCCAAAATATAGAAGAAAATTATCCTAAGATAATTGACTTTGAACAGAATGTGTGTAAATGAACACAGGAGTTTCCTATACTTACATTGACTATCATATCCTAAGTAATTTATCTTTTAGGAGATGATGAGAAATGTAGGTCTTATAAAAAGTTGGTAATCAGATCCATGTAAGCATGCTTCTCTGTAACATATATAAATACAGTAGTATCCACCATTATTCTAAGAGATAATGGTTCTTAGATCTGCACAGACATGAAAATCCTGGGAAAATTTAGGTGAAGATTCTTGTGTCTTCTCCCTCCCCCAGAGAAGGAGATCACATGTTTAAAACACTGCCCTAGACTATATGCAAAAGAGAAGCAGCCACTGAGGGGAAATGGCTCCCACCTGGTAGATGGCCATGGCACAATGCTCCTGAAGCTGCTCATTCTCACTATTCAGGTTCTTCACAAGGTTTTCAATGATCCTTTCTGCTTTGATTGCAGCTCGATAGTTTTCCTAGGCATATAAAGTTAAGTATTTATGTGTGTCTAATGAATAAAAAATTGTATCAATTTGCATTTCTTCATTATCATGAACAAACTTTCTTGCATTGACTGAAGTCAATGCTTAACACATCTATACAGCAGTCTGAATTCATCCACGGTGGAAAAACCATATTACACAGGTACTGATTTCATAAATGTACTATGGGTTCCATTTTCTTTTTCTAAGAAAGCAAAGAAAACTCAAGTGGTTTGCATACCTCTGATGCACACTCTTGCAACGTGCCCACCACTGGAATGAGCATGTTTTCGTGAGAAGTCTTCAGCAACCGAGCCAACAAAGGGATGCCTCCAGCTTTACGAATGGCTTCTTTGCTCGAGTGACTCTTACTACAGCTCCACAAGGCCAGCGCCCCACAGCGAGCCACTTCCACGTCTCTAGTTTCATACAAACTCGGCAGAGAGGGCTCAGCTGGACTCTGTCCACAGTCTAATAGAGCCACCTACATGAATAGACATATGCCATGTACATGGACATCATTCAACCAAAACTCATCCTGCAATTGCTAGAGGGTTGCTGAGGGAAGGAGTGGGTTGGGAGGGATGAATGAGATGACATTGAACAAGACACATTGTATTCATCAACAGCTTTGTTGTTTGGCAACTCCTTTGTATAATTATTTAAAGAAAACAAAAACATAGCTCAGCTGGGTCCTGGTGACTCACACCTGTAATTCTTGCTTCTCAGGAGACTGAGATCTGAGAATTACAGTTCGAAGCTAACCTTGGCAGGAAAGACCAGGAGACTCTTATCTCCAATTATGACCCCTCCCCCCCACCAAAAAAAAAAAGCCAGAAGTGGTGCTGTGTTAGAGCACTAGCCTTGAGCAAAACAGCTCAGGGACAGCTCCCAGGCACTGAGTTCAAGCCCAAGGACACACACACACACACACACACACACACAAAACCCCACCCCAAGTACATGCTAAAATCCATATTCATTTATAAATTTATAAATGCTTGTTGCTTCTTCATAGGGGTAAGAAGGATTATAGAGAAGACTTGTCTCTCATGTTAAGAAATGGAAGGCAGAAGTAGAGGCAATCTGCAAGATAAAGGCTGCAGGAAGAGACCTGGGAACTAGTGACCCTAACTAAGAAGATACGTTTCTAAGTACATTGACTTCTTCAGCATCTCTGCTGGCACGGTAAAGGTGAGGAGAATGCAGAATTGTTTTCTTTCTCTGGTAGTTCTTAAGATAATCAATTTTTTTCTGATTACAAAAGTAAGACAGACAAATTTGCCTATGTAGAAAAACACATTTCTAGATTTTTTTTTAACCAAAATATTGGTAATCATTTTAGAGACACCTGTGAACAATTTTGTGTACTTCTGGTATGCATCTCTAATTTTGTGTATATGTTTCTAGATGGCTGGGGAACTCCTTCAAACTTAGGATTGTGCTGGGGGCAACATGTGGCTTAGGTGGTAGAGAACTTGTTCAGCAAGCACAAAGCTCTGATTCAAACTCCACTACCACAAATATATTGAAGATCATAGATGCAATACATCATATTATAGAATATGTATTTTAGTCCTTACAACTAAATATCCTTTCCAAACACAATAGTGACAGCTGACTACAAATGGTTGTTTATTTTTGTCAGTTGTGGGGCATGGACTGGGGGCCTGGGCACTGTCTGAGTTTTGTCACTCAAGGTAGTGTTCTACCACTTGTACTTTGAACCATAGTGTCACTACTGATTTTCTGGTGGTTAACTGGAGATAAGAGTTTCACGGATTTTCCTGCCCAGGATGGCTTTGAACCATGATCCTCAGATCTCAGCCTCCTGAATAGCTAGGGTTACTTACAGGTGTGAGCCACAGGTGTCCAGCTTTCCAGATGATTTATTATGGGCACACCCATAAGTATTTTACTAACTGAATACTGTGAACACCCAAGCTGTTTGCACCTCTCAGTCTCAACCCACAGAGTTGAAAAAGGGCTTTCAGTCTGACTGTCCACTTGGAGATCAGCAGTCTCAGAATTGCCATACTGGGTCCCACTTTCCAGAGATCAATCTGTCCTTCCCTACTCCTTTCTTTTCTTTTCTTTCTTTTTTCTTTCTTTCTTTTTCTTTCTGTGGTGCTGGAGATCAAACTCAGGGCCTTGTGCATGGTAGACAATCACTATACTACTGATTATATCCCCAGTCTTGGAATCACCATTTCTTACCATCTCTGTTCATATTCGTAAACAGCTCCCTACCAATACCCTAGGTGTCCGTTCTATACTTTAAAATGTCTCTATTTTTCAAAATGAGGTTGAACATGCTTTTCGGGCCATGTGCTAATAGAAGTTCACAAAACTAATTCTTATCGACATCCAACAGTCAAAGAACACTGCAGAGATGTGGCATTTATAAAGGCTCAACAGTAACCCCAAGTCCCGGGAGGTGATGGCCCCGTGGGTGGCGGCTTAGGCCCACTGGCCATGTCCGTCCATCAGTACTCACCAGTTTGTTAATGCCCCCGTGTTGCCTCACCACCCGCCGGGCTCTCTTGAACTTGGCAACGTTTGCGATGGTTTCAGCTGCCAGACACTTCAGACTCTTGTGTGGAGAATCGAGGATGCTAACCATAATTGGTAATCCCCCAAGGTCAACAATATTGCGTCTGATTTGAGGATTATGACTGATTTCCTTCAGGATTTTTAATGAACCAATCTACACGGGAAAAATGTGATTGATGAATGAACACTTAACATATAACCAGTGCAGTGTTTTTAAAAAGTCTAAGCCTACCTAAAGTCCTTCCTCAATTAAGTTCGTTAAGAAATAGTTTCCATCCCCAGAGGCTGCACACATCCTCCATCTTTTCCTTCATTTGGGTAAACAAACACCATCAGTCCAGAAACACAAGAAACGAATGGAAAAGACGAAGTGAAGGGAAGAAAAAAAACAAGAGAAAGAGAAAGAAAAGAAATCGACAACACAGTGAGGCACCCCTGGCTCACACTGATAATCCAGGAGGTGGAAATCTGAGGATCTTCATTCCAAGCCAGCCTGGGTAGAAAACCTGAGAGACTCTTAAACAAATCTAAGAGCAAAAACCAGAAGTAGTTGAGCACTTGAGTGAAAAAGAAGCTAAGCTAGAAGGAGAAACCTTGAGTTCAAATTATAGTACTAGTTCAAAAAAGAAAAATGTTGGGGAGGGAAGGGGAGGAGAGAGAGGAAAGGGAGGATAAGGGGATGGGGAATGAGAGAGGGGAGAATAAAGGATGAGGGGAGAAGACAGGGGGAAAAGGGGAGGGAAAAGGAGAAGAGAAAGGAAGAAGAGAAAAGGAGAAGAGAAAGGAAGAGGAGGCAAGAACAGGAGAGAAGGAAGGAAAGAGAGGAGGGAGGAAAGAGAAGAGGAAGGGAGGGGAGAATAACAGAGAAGGGGAAGGGAAAGGAGGGGAGAGGAGAGAAGAGAAAGGCAGAAGAAAAAAAGGAAGATGGAAGAGAGAGGAAAGGAGAAAGGGAGGGAAGGGAAGAGAGGGGAGAAGAGAGGAAAGGAGATAGGAGAGAAAGAGAAAGGGAGGGGAAAAGAACAGAGAAGGGAAAGAAGAAGAAAGAAAGGGAAGGAATGGGAAAGAAAAGGAGGAAAGGAAGGGAGGGAAGAGAAGAGGAGAGGAGAAACTGACAATAAATCATACAGATGCATAGAGCTTGGAAGACATCCAAACGTGAGCTGAGCCCAAAACCCCTCTGCCATTGCCACAAAGCCACTCACCTTACATTTGACTTCATCTGTATCAAGCAAATTTATTAAAACTTCCAGGCCTCCAACATCTCTGATAGCCAGCTGACAGGTCTCTTGGGATAAGTTGAAATCCCTCATTGAACACAAAGCAATCACTGTGGCTGTCTGATTTCCACCCTACAAACAGGCAAGACCGAAGAATGGATAAAAGAAAACCATGTTCCTATAGAAATCTATTACGAAGATAGTTAGGACGGCATGGAAACTAAGAAATGTTTAATGTACTGTACACATTAAATTTTTAAGTTCTCGGATTGGGCTCTAATTTGTTAAATAAATCATGCCAGGCTGAAGCATGAAAAAGCTGTGCAGAGCATCATAAAATGTTCTTCCAGTTAAGAGTCCTAATTTAAATGTGCCCTGTCTCTTTCAAACAGCTGCAACTTTAGGTGATATTAAAAGATTAAAGAGAGTCAAAGGACAAACCTCCACCACGGCTGCAGAATGGAAGCTGTACATCGAGGTAACCGGATGGTCTCCCAGTTCTTGTTCAATGAAATCACATCTGAAAATTATTCTTACAAACTATCGTATCGAAAGACATATACATTTGGTCTTTTTATCCCTGGTTTTTGGCATGTAATCCTAAAATCATTCTATAATCCTCAAGGTGCTCCATCTCTTTTGCATGTTAATTAGTTGGTTGGTGGTTGACCGGCCTGCCCCACAGAACTTCAGGATATAGACAGGTCACTAGAAAGACCAAGGTAGCAATAAAGAGTTAGGACATTCAACTTCATTCCTTGAACTCTGGGACCTAGGAAGGGCCAAAGTCTGATTATTAATGTCCAAGGATTTCATCAATCATGCCTAGAGAATAAAAAAGCCTCTATAAGAGTCCTGAAGAACAGAGCTCAGGAATTTTCTGGATCACAGAACACTTGGAACTTCCTGGAGGGTAATATTCCCACACAGGACATGGCCCCCATAGCTTACCAATCTCTTCATCAGCATTCTGTGGAAATATGGTTTATGCTAGACCAGAAAATGTGTTTCCCTAAGACCTGTGAGCTGCTCTACTAATTGAGTCAAACCTGAGGACTGTTGTGAAAACCTCAACCCATAGCCAGCCAGACAGGAGTACAGGTCCCAACAGGGGCTTCTGATTGGCAGCTGGCGTGTGATGACTAAGCTACCAACATGTGGCATCTGACAGGATCTCCAGGTAGACAATGGCAGGACAGAACTGCTTCCAGGTGGGGCCAAGTGTTCTGGAAAAATCACCATGCCTTCTGAGACGTCTCTGGATTGAGTGTTAGAGGATGAGAGCCTATCCATCATCCCCTACACATAGATATATGCCAAAATGGTAGGTGTAGGAAACTTGGAGAAAGGGAAACAGTGTGGAAGGCAGCAGAGAATGGAGACTGAAACAGGGACAAGAAGGAATTATAGCTATGGGAAAATAGGAAGCAAGTCTGCTAGCACCTGGGGATGATGGGTGGGATGAAGAAAGAAAAAGTCCAACTCCATGGTTGTGATAAGCTAGCCCAACATAATCAATCCCATGATTCATCAGGGCACCTGATAAGCAGAGGTGAGCTATTCCTTTAAGAGTGCAAACAACATCACCAAGAATGATCTGTGAACCAGATCAGCCAGGAAATTAAAAGCAGAATTCACTCTAGGAATTTTTAAGCCATGTCCACTGGTCATTACTACTTTGCAAATTCTCTGGAGAACATGACTGAGTAGACATGAGATGCTATTTCAGAGGGTGCTCAGTGGGAATTTTGGCATAAGACACAGAAGCCATGTTTCTGTGGGGCAAACAGTGACTTAATTCTGAAAAGGATCTCATGAACAGCTACCTTTGCTCCTGCTTTGAAACCACATAAAAATCCCAAATCTCTTTTAAAATTTCTTTTCAAAGGCAGGGTACCTTCAAATTACATTTATTTTCTTCACGGGTCATTTTATGTTGTCATTATCTATTTCATAAATTTTATGTAAATTTATATGTAATTACATAGTGCTGGGAGTTAAATGTCTCTGTATGAACTCGTGCAGAAATGTGGTTGCCCTTCAAATAATGAATACTAGCCAGAGCCAGTGGCTCATCCCATAATTCTTGCTACTCAGGAGGCTGAGATTTGATGATCACAGAATAGAGCCAGTCTGGGCAGAAAAATCTGAGAGACTATTATCCCCCAATTAACCAGCAAAAAGAAAGAAACCATGGGAAAAATAGCCAAGCAAGATAGCAAGGCCCTGAGTTCAAGTTCCAATATTATTACCAGCATAAAATAAGAGATGACAGCTAGGTAATGAGAACTCTGCGCTCATGAATAATTTAATAGCATTGTCAGGGAGTGGCTCTTTTTTATGAGAGTACATTTTCACATCCTTACCAGGTTATGATTCAAGAAGGCCCTCACAAAATATAAGGCTGTCCACTTCAGAGTCATAAATGAGTTTCTTATTTTTCATGGTACTGGGACTTGAACTCAGGGCCTTATGGTCTCAGTTTTCTTGCTCCCAACTGGCTCTCAGACACTTGAGCCTTGCGTCTAGTCTAGATTTTTTTCCTAGTTATTTTAAAGATGGAATCTAGTAGATTTTTCTGTTCTATCTGGCTTCAAACCTGGATCCTCTGGTCTCAGCCTCCTGAGTAGCTAGGATTACAGGCAATAGCCACCAGTTCTAGGCTTACTTTTTTTTTTTGATAAATTTTGAGAAAAGACCCTTCTATGTAACTCATGCTAACCTCCAATTCACAATCCTACTGCTTCAACCTCCTGAGTTCTAGGATTACAGGTATATGCTACCATGCCCAGCTGATATTTTTTCCTAACAAGTTACTCAGTCTTCATATTGTTATGACATCATAAAATGGGCTGAAATATATAAGTAGATAATGTAATATCAAGAAATCTATAAGTGTTTTACAATTATGTTAAAATACAGTTTACATTATATGAACAGTATTTAATATATATAAATAAAAGTTAAAATTGTATTTATATAATACATATGTACACCTGTCCTGGCACATCGAAGCTGTCACCTTCTCTCCTTAGATCACTCATGGACATAGACAAATCCTTCGTGAATTCAATATAACTTATGACTTTTAAACTGAAAGGGAATTAGTCGAGGCCATGCATTGAAACATGAAGAAGGAAATAGTCTTCAGCCTTTCCTCTTGTTCCTTTTGTGCTGATCTCTTCCACTTCTCTAGTTGCTATGAATAACAGCCCTGCGGTGACCTCGCTGACAATAGCCACTTGTCACTTGACCCTGCCCTCTGAGGGTGCTCAGGACTGTCCTCCTGCTCCACATTATGAAACAAAACAGGTTGTTTTATTTAACACTTAGCATCTTCTTATAGTCAACAGAATTGTTATCCTAACCATTTTCTTACTGTTGGTATCAAAATTTAAAATAATAATTCTTCTGTGTCTTACTGTGAAGTTATTAGCTCTCTTGCTGGGAGTACATGACTCATACATGCTAGCACCTCTCTGTCTCCTAATTCAATATCCTTGTTTTAAATGTTTTAATTGTCTTTACATAGTTGTACAAAGGGGTTTCAATTCAACATGTCAGTTTATGAGTCCAGTTTCCATTTCTCCTCTAGAAAAACAAAAGGCATGCACCATAAAAAGTATATATGTTAACTGTAAATAAAAGAAATTAAATGACACATTAAAAGGAAAAGCCAAAAGAGAGTGAGAGAAAGAGAGAGGGAGGGAAGGAGAGAGGGAGAGAGAGAGGGAGAGAGAAAGAGAGAGAGAGAGAGAGAGAGGAAGAAGAAAAACAATTTCTTCAACAAAGTTCTATGAAAGAAAAGCAAAATAAATGACCAAAAGGAGCCAGATAGTCCTGGGAGGGTTCTGAAGGAACAGAGCTAGGTTCCTGTATTAAGAGAGAAGAAGATTCAACCAAAAAGTTCTGGCAGAGGGAAAACATCCAGCAGAGGAAAGACTTTACATAAATACTTCCAGTAGAGGGAAGACTTCTGGTACAGGGAAGACTTCCGGCGGAAGACTCAGACCTAAGCATGTCTAGGAAGCACAGACAGCAAGGCACAAGACACTAGGCTTCAGTCAAATCAAGAATATACTCCCCTCCCCACAAGACTTCTTCGTTGCAGACAAATTGTTACCCACACTGACTTACGCAATGCCAAGGACATTCTTCCTTGCTATTCTTGCTTCTTAATATTTTCTTCTCTTACCTACTCAGAGCAATTTTAGCATCCTTTTCCAAGATGCCTTAATCTTTCGCTTCTAAACTATTTCTGTTTTATTTATACTATAACCACTAACATACATTCTTTTTGGGGGGGGGGGGGCGGGGGTCCGGTCATGGGCCTGAACTCTGGGCCTGGGCGCTGTCCCTCAGCTCTTCAGCTCAAGGCTAGCACTCTACCACTTGAGCCACAGCACCACTTCCGGCTTTTTTTTTTCTGCTTCTGTGGTGCTGAGGAATCGAACCCAGGGCCTCAGGCATGCAAGGCAAGTGCTCTACCACTGAGCCACTTTCCCAGTCCCATACATTCATTTTTTGAAAGTCATTTTATTGTAGCAGATACATAAAAGGTAGTTTATTTTTTTCTGATTTTTTTTTAATTTCTAGACCAATTTTGCAATCAAAAGACTGACATTTTACATTTAGATCTTTATAGAAAAAAAATTCTCTGTAAATCAGCTTTTTCTTTTATTTTTGAAAATCTGGAAACATATTCACAGACTTGAGGGATTTTTTTAGAACAGTTTTATATTAGGAAAAGTTAGTTTTTCCACATTTCAGGATTTAGTTCTACTCTTGTCACTGACCACGCTCCCAAAAGGACTATAAATCTTTCAGAATGAATACCAGAAGGCAGGAGCCAAAATATTCAACATACAGAGCCACAAATGTTAGCCAATTGCTATTCTTTAAATACCAGCTATGTCAAAGGATTTTGAATGCTCCTACTTTGACCAGACACAATAAACATCTAACCAAGGAGAAGCAGCATAAATATGCTCCTTTTTAAATGAAATTTCCCAAGAACATAATTAAATTCCAATACTTTTTTTTACACTTTGTCACACATTTGCATTTGTGAGATTTTAAGAGCTGAAGAAAACATAATAAAATATTATTTTACTAGAAGGGTTTTGAAAAAA